GAACTTACTCATATCAATTCTGGAAAATGAATCATTACTTACAGACATTATACATGCAGCCGAGACAAGCATGAAGTTCTTTTTCTTCTTCTTCTTTTTCCCATAATTTAAGGATGCGAGCATGGAGACCCGGCAAAAATCGTATGAACCGATTAAATCAAGTTCTTGTGCGCCTAATCTAAAGTAACCTACGCGTAATTAGTGAAATTCGAACAAGTTATTTCTAGTTTTTTAAAGCTGCAAATCCTCCGACGCCCAAATCATTCGCGCTAACACGCCGATCGAATGTTTTCAGGTTTAATTTATTGCAGAGTGACAGATGCGTACGGACAGACAGGAGGCAGTGCCATGGCCAGAAGAAGCTAGCCTGGCGAGAGCAGGCAAGCTTCAATTGTTTTGTCTACATATAAAAGGCTTATTAATGTCGGCATTCTACCACTTTGATAATTTCGTGGAATTGTATGTGTCAATGGCTGGTCGGCCGACACATTGGCTCGTTCTCCATTGGCTTGCCCAGTACAGTCGAACAGTGTTGAGGATGAATTGACGAGGATCTTGTAATGGAGATCCATTACCAGTTCCATTACCTGTCTACTACCGTCACTACTGGCTACAGAAACGAAATTCATTTCATCGAATTTCGATGGCCAAGAATACATTTCGCAAGATTAAAAGCCTTGTTGGGATCGCTTTAATAATGAATTTTCTAACACGTTAAGCTGATGCGGGGGGGAGTGCGTCCGTAAAATCGTCCGAGTAAATGCATGAATCGAGACGAGATGTGCGACAGATGACCCCAGTGTAGCCTCGCCTTTTCTAAATTTTTGTTTTTTTTCTTTGGGGGGGCCACCCCATCTCCTCCTTTTCCAAAAGGAAAGAGGGAATGATATGCAGGGACAGAGAGTGCTGATTTGACTCAGCATGGGCCCAGGATTAGCCGCAAATGGCAAACCAATCAAAGCACAGCTAAGGCGCCCAATCGAAGTTGAATTTTGGGGTAATCACAAAAATAGTTAAGTGCGGCTACTAAATTTTTAATTTATTCAATATAGTCCCTGAATTTTATCTCAATGTACAATGTGATCTTTGAATTTTTTATAAATGTTCAACTCGATCCCTGAACTAAATGAAAATGTTCAATGCTTTCATTCATTTAATTCAAGTTCAAGGACAGGATTGAATATTTTCATATAATTCAGAGATTAAACTGAATGTGTATCAAAAGTTTAGGAAACACATTGAACAAACTGAAATTTAAGGGATCACGTTGCATATTGAGTTACGATTCAAGGACCGTATTAAACAAATTAAAAGTTTAAGTATCACATTGCTCGTTAGACCAAAATTCAGGGAAAATTTATGTCATTTTCCTTCGAATTTTTCTAGTCACTTGGAGCTGAGCTGTGGCAGCATTTTCTTGATTTTCTATTTCGAGCCTCAATTATTGTGACAGAAAGAGAGAGGGAATTGCTTACTTGTAATGAGTGGGAGAGACGCCTTGGAAGAAGACCCGGGTCCTGGCCCTGTCAACGTTGGCGTCGACCCAGTTGACCCATGTCCTGAGCCCCGTTCCCAGCGCCACCAGCCGGTCCATGTCCTCGTAGTACTTCCCTCCTGCCTCCATCACGTCCCACCTGCATCGCCGATCCCCCCGCCGCCGCCGTCGTCTTAGGATTAGCAGCAGTTTCATAGAATTCGATTATAAATGATTGTGCTTGTGCCGTTATTTGTTTTGTTTACCCTTGGAGAGAGCCCTTGTGGATCCACCAGTGGCCGGTGTTGAAGGAGAGGACATCGGCGGCCCGCCACGGGCCGGCGTTCCTCGAGATGTCCTCCAGCTTCAGGACCCTCTTGCCTTGGACCGAGTCGATGTCCACCAAGTAGGGGGCTCTGTAGAAGGACACCGACACGCCATAGTCCTGCCATGTTTGTAACATAATCCCATGTTAATTACAGTAATGATCTCTACATCCTTCCACACAAACACAGAGAAAAGAGAGAGAGAGAGAGACGTTGACTTCCTAGTTTTGCAGAGTGCCACTTTTTTCTGAGAGGAAAAAAGAAAAACTCGTCACAGAACCAACTGCTCCGTGACTGAGATGCCCTTTTCTCCACGTGAGGACAAAGTACTCCGCCACACTTGACTCACAGAGTCACGTTACCGACAACAACCTACCCACAAAATTGCGCACGAAGAGCCCGTGCCGTGACTTTTGTATCAAACAGTACAAGTTCTGACATTATAGCACCTCGAAACTGGACGAAGCAGCTCTTTAAAACCCAAGTGTGACGCTGGAATACCTTCTCAAATGGCGCAGCACTTGTTTCGCAGCAGTAATTTTTACGATAACTCTTATTGACCGTCCTCTAAACTCGATGTCAACGCGCGATATCGTGAATTCTAATTGGAGGTTTAGTAAACAAAAGCTAAAATCTTTTGGTGTGTGTACTCATGGGCCACTAGATGAAAGGTGGCATGACTAGACAAAAACAAGGGAGTGAGTCATTAAAGAAACAATAATTTGGTGGCTCTCGTTTGTGCAGTAGCAAAGCTACATGATAGTTCTGGTCCACCTAAATAGCACTCAATGATTTCACAGCATCACTTCACGAAAAAGAAATGTTCAGTGTTGTCCAGCGTTATTGAAACTTCTTTTTCCTCCGCAAGGAACATGGAGAGAGGTGAAATTTGGGAAAGATTGTAGTTTGGGGTTGAAGTCAAAATGATGAACTCACGAGGAACTTGAAAGTGGAGAGAGGGTCTCCGGAGATCCTCTGGGTGGGTGTGTTGGGGGCAGCAGCTGAAATCATGCAGACCAGAGACTGCCATTGGTTCCTCCCGAGAGAGTCCCCCACGAACATCACCGTCTTCCCCCTCATCCTCACCAGGAAATCAAGCCCATCGAACCTGAAAACTCACTGTCTTAAGTCCTCACTTCACTTGCTGTATGCCTAAACAAGAAACCCAAAAACGAAAAACACCTAAAAAAGGAGTGAAGTTTACAGTCACATCTACCTTGGAAGCTCACAGTTGAGAGGCTTCCATCTATACTTGAGGTAGTCAGTGTCTGGGCGGCCGAAGGCTTGGCAGTTGAACTCGGGGTCAATGATGGGGCACTGGGAGGATTGGTACAATGGGTACGTGTCGTCGAGTACCCATGTACCCACATACAGTGAGCAGTTGGAGTACTGCTTGGCCTTGAGCATTGGCTTTCTATGCACAACCCGGGTGTTCTTCGCTCTTGTTCTCAGCAAGACGGAGCACGAAGCCGTGTGACATTGAAGCCAAAAGAGGCATAGCATCACCACAAGTGAGCATGGCCCAATGGCATGAGGAGCAGGTCCAGAGCAAGGTCTTGCCATGGTGAAGAATGCTGCAACGGAGAGAGAGAGAGAGAGGGAGGTGTTCTAGGATGTCTCTTATGATGTAATGACTTGTGGCGTGTAGTTGGGGCAATATACACAAGTTGAGGGGGGTGTGTGGGGTTTTTTGGAGGTAAGATGTTGAGCATGTGAAGGTGGCTAAGCCCGGTTCACGAGAGAGCTTAACAAAGTCTTTTTAATAGGTTGATTTTGTACATCTAGTGGCGGTGGCCTCGTGAAGCTGATATGGACCCTTCAACCGTCTTTTGTTTCCTTTCTTACTTTTCTTTCTGTTCGGCCTCTAGAGTGGGAATATATGACACCCAGATTTAAGCACGTCTCTCTCCCTCATCGACATCAGCAATTATAGGAATTGGATTAGTCTTAAGAATCTTAGTGCAGCAGCCACAGCCATGTGCTGATCTTCGATTATGCTTTAGATCTCAATGAGGGTCGGTCCCATTGCTTTTGGAATGTGGAGCTAGATTCAAGCATAATGGAAAAACTCGGATAGGTTTTTGGAATAACCGGGCTCGATGAGCTTACATATAGTATAAGTCGCGCGCGAGAACTTCATTCGTTTTGTTCAAACTCTGTTTTACAAAGGTTCTGAGCATTTTTTGTTTCTGTTTTTGGAAATGGCACTTGTCATTTTAAGGTAATAAATTTTACTTTGTTTGACAAAAAAAATTGGGGTTATTCAAGTGTTGTCTCTACCCAAAAGAACTGCTGTAGTTTTCTCATGCTCCATCAGTCAATTCCAATTTAAGTGCTTGGTCCAATTCACTAGCAATTGAAAATCTCTTCCTTTTAAGACAAGCATATGTTCTCCTGCTAAAGGTTCGTGGCTACCCGAGACAATCCCGTCTTATAAAGGGTAATTGTCCTATGATCAGACATAAGAGACGAACTAACTGTCGCACGAGAGCCGGGTCGAGTTTCTAGATGAGAAAAGTAGCTTAGAAACATCGACATACCGATAGTCGTATAATTTGTTCTCGACATATACAATACCTTACCAAACTATGACTCGAGCAAAGTAAAAAAACAAAATCTAGGTAATAGATACATGCCATATAATTTGCGCCTAATAACGTGGGAATTAAACCAATGTACTGTTCTTACCAAAAAAGAAAGAAATCAGTGTACCACCGTAAGTCCTGCTCACTTTCTGAACCAACTATAAATCAATCCTTCGAGGATAATAAATTTTTTGCAGATTTTCATTTTCGTTTTCAGAAACTTATGCTGGGGCCAGAATTAAACTATAAATTTATTGCCCATTAGATGCAAGACAGATCAAACTTGTGCTGGGGCCAGAATTATTTTTGAAATATGTATACTTTTTGCGCGTCTTTTTAGGTGCCATTACTTTTGAATTTTTCAGCCACCATGAATGGCCAATCAATCTCCCTGATATATTCTATGATATGATATTAGATATTAGTCAAATTTAACTCACATTTTACAATGTTCAGCAAAAGAAAGAAAGAAGGGGGAGATAAGAAACCAACACGTTACAAATATTAGAACATTTCACTAACAGACAAAAGGACAATCGGCGCAGGAGATATTCTAGTCTAGATTTGCACATGATAAACCTTCTACCCACCCCAAAAGCATTTCAGACAGTCAAAGATCCAAGTACGTTATGCCAAATTTAAATGGTAGAGCACATGTTTAACTGCTACATCAGGCCTCTTCATACCTTCACGCATGTTAAGGAAAACCCACATAACATAACTGAACTTCAATTTCAACAGGACCTTTCCTGACAGTGAAACTCTCAGAATCAATGAAATCTGAAAGAACATCGTGACTTTTGCCTAGAAAAAGAACAGGAGATTACGTGGTGTTTAAGAATTAGTTTTCTGTCTGATGCAGAAGGCCAAATGCTTATCAGGCCAAAATTTGCATTTTCCAGATCATCGTCCTTAGCAGAAATCTGGAAAATGATCTGGGGGAACATGAAAAGAAACAAAAGCCCTTCAAATCTGCATTGAAGGAGAGAGAGAGAGAGAGATCAAGGGAAGTTCCATAACTTCCCGACCGATAAAACTGGCAAGCATGGTAAAAATAAATCCTGACTTGACAAGATCTCACGCTGAGAACTTCTTCCTCCGCTTGTAGCACTTCCAAACTTTGATGTTGTCCTTTCCGGCTGAACCATTGGTAATGCCTTCATGGAAGCCTGGTCCACTACCGAGTTCAGTGGGCTGGTTAACCTGCGAAAGAAAAAGATAATTCATATTGGAAATCAGCGCTCAATGTAAGAACGAAATTAAATTTATCTGGTGAGAAGCAAATACCCCTATAGCCGAAGAAACAATGCTGCTGTCACCATCAACAGCATTGCCTGCATCCAAACTGGCGAAAAATCACAGCAGTCAGCGAAATAAGTAGGCTATGCTTCCAATAAAAGCTATAAAAAGCCGCACGAGACTGGAGAAAAGGTAAATTAAATGGAGAAATTTTCTACTTGTAATTGTTGAATGTAACATAAAGCAAAGACTAATCAGAAGAGAGCTATGAGTGCAGTTCCTAGCTTTAGGCATGACATAATGACAAAGGTCACACCCTTAAAAGGATGGCTATCAAATCGGAAGAGTGCTAAAGCCCTTGAATATCAAAGTTTCACTCCAAAAATCTAGCTTCAAGTTCAGTCCTGTTCGAGTTCCATATACTATGAATGAGAATATCCCAAGCAGCAAACCGTTAGGCTGATTGTACAGCAGAATGTGTAAAAAGGTGGGCATGTCAATGGTGTATCCAGCCGTTTGTCCAGGTGTCTAGCATAAGATATTTCAGCTTGAGAAGATGATGGCTATAAGGGGGAATCCACCATCTCCCAGGAAGTAAAGTTGAAATCCTTAGAATCAGGCACGCCATTACATCCAAAACTTACCATTGAAAGGTTAGACCTATGTCCTTATGAAGAAGTCTAGTCGTAGGAAATTCATTAAAAATTTACCAAGCCAAAAACCATATTCAAAATCAATGTCAAGCAAGCCTCATTTCTCTCTCATCCAAGTGATTGTTTTTACCATGCTAATTGCTTTATGAACAAATTTTTGGTTCATAAGGCATCAAATCTCTTTTGCATTGCTGCTCACTATATGAAGCGGAAGAAGAATGGCACCATATGAAAATACTTTTACATGCACAAAAACACCAAACTATTGCAAATTAACTTTCATTGAGATTTAGCTTCTGATGCAACTTTGTTCTTTGGCCGTCATCAATGACACCAGAAAGTTGGCATTACAGGATCTAACAAGTAAAATCATCTCCAGATGACCTAAATACTGCACTTTTTGCAGCACTCTTGAGTTTAGGGTTTTTAACAAAAAAAGACACCAGCTTTCACCTTGCAGACTATTATGACCCAACTTTCACCCCACAGACTATTATGACCCCAACTTTCAAGTGTTGCATAAAAAAGCACAAACTTTCACTGGGGAGACAACTCAGTATATGCAAAAATTCAAGACTCAATTTTGACCCCAACTTTCAAGACTCAATTTCCACAAGCATATGCAAAAATTCATCAACAGAGCACACAACTCAGCATTTCCTCCAAAGACAATTAACTATCAAACATATTCTGAATCTGCATATTCATTAGGAAGATCTGATGCAATTCTTCCTTCTCCTCCTCCAATTGTATAGAACGTTCTCCACATGTGATCTAAGATTCCAAAATGCAAGATAGTTTTTTTCCATGCTCTGACTTAATTTTACATCAGGTAAACCAAGCATTCCATTTGACTGTTTTTTTCCCTTTGGCTGGCACCATTAAACCATATAGCTCCTAAAAATTCACCTTGTTCCCTGAGATGAGAAGGGAGAGACATGCACTCTATGGCCTTGGTCCACAGCTCCACTTTCCTCATGTTGATCTGCCTGAAATACTTCAGAGACAGTAGTTGACGCTTCCAAGTTATTTTTGTTACCGCTTCCTTTCAGTGCATCGTGGATTTTAGGGGCCATACCTGCATGTGGAGAAATTTGCTACTCCTGAATATGAGTTTGCGAATGGTCTCCTACGAAGAATGATCGCAACAAATACCTCTTAAGAAGCAGACTGCTGATGGACTCTCCAACAAATGCTTTTGGCACATGGTTGTATCCTGGAAGTCTAGGAAAGTATAATCCAGATACTGTAATCTCTCCAAAGAAGTCATTTTTGTGAACCCAAATGAAGTAGTCCATGTGTTGATCAAACTAGGAACAGCAGGTAAAACCAGCTTGGCTACTGCTAACTCCTTCAGCTTCTGTGAAACGAGGGAGAACGTAAAGTTAATCAGAACTTTAACAGTCCTGGATAAAGAAACGAAAACAATGGAAAAGTCCTTATTACTCCACAAGTCATGTGGAACTAAAAAGAGGCTATATTTGGCACAAATTTACCACAACTTTTAGGAAACTGCCTCACCCTGCTTTAAAATGCTGTGACTAAACACGACTCCAGTACTAAGCAATTTATGAAGAGCCGAGTCTAATATGACATGATCATTGAGTCACCAAAAAAGTAATAGTGCCCACATTTACCACCCTTCATATTAACTGGCAAAAAATTACAGTCCAAGATACCAAGTCACAAACAAGTTCCTATGTTCTTTTACTTATTTGTATAAAAACACGTCAATTTGTGCGATTCATAAAAACACAGAACCTCAGACAAGTATGAAATTTTTGTTAGATAGGTAAAATGGATCAATTATAGGGCACCAAGGGGGTACAACCCATACCCATATGCAAAAAGAGCTCAAAAAACTAAAGCCATATACAAAACGGCTCTGAAAACCAAAAGGGAGTTCAATTTTAGGATAAATCATCAACCATATCAACCAAGATATCCATGAGCAAGTTTCCACTATACCAAAAGTGTTTTAAGCCAATTTTCAAATAAAGCAGAAAAGGAAAATTTCTCTCCATCAAAAGCTCTCATGTCCACTCCTTCCAAATCAACCAAAAAAAAGAGAGGGACCAAGGTAGTCCTTTTCTTGTTGTGCTGTAAATAAATGCCCTGCCAAACCCAAAGTTCTTGCTCAATAGAACCTCCATAACCCAATATAACCTGGTGCAAGCATAAGCTACCAAACCATTCACATTTAAGAACAATGAAGCAGGAGATGCCGCACGGTCTCTGCCTCCCTTTTGCAGAGGAAACAGATCAACCGCTACTCTGCCTCTTTGTTGTAAGTTATCTAAAGTAAGGACTCATTCCCAATTTGCTTCTCGAAGGAGCTCTTGTTGGAACCCTCACTTTCCAAAGAACATCCATTCTAGCACCACTAATCTGTTCTAGCAGCTTGTAGTAAAACTTTGCAGAACAGATTCCATCTCTTCCATTGTTCCACACGAGTCAACCCAAAATGTGATTCCATGTAAAATGTACATTATCATTTCACACTAGATATTAATGATAAGGGTAAATTGCTCGTGCACCGCTCAGGGTTTTGATAAAAATGCAGGTAGGTCCTAAATTTTTTCAAGTTGAGCACTTACCTTCCTCCCTGAACATCTCAAGATTAGAATCTAATAAATGAATTGGAAAGGTGGCTTTAATGCCATGAAAGAGCTTTTAACCAATACGTACACATGTCATGGACGAAGGGGGAGAACACCTTTAGTTGACAGGAGGTAAGTATGCCTTCTATATACAATGGCTGTTTATGCATCAAGTGGGTGTGAAATCTACTTATCATAACCAAAAAGCTGCAAAGAAAAAACAAATTCCAATTTGAGGTTGCTTCGGAGTACTCTCATGTTTGTCATGGAAAAGCAAAGGGAGATTTTTAGGTACCCCACCCCCCTCCCCCCCTCTTCTCCCCATCTAAACACAAACTCATCCCAAGCCCTGTAATTTTTTGCGGCTTGTCCCACACACATGTTGAATTTCAATACTGGTAGCCTATATTCGACCTATTCGAGCTCGACTGATCTAGGTATTTGATATGCTATGCCCAACACCCTGCAATCTCTCTTGACAATAGCAGGATTCTGTTCAATTGGGTAAATATCTCGGACCATTGTTTAATGTATAGTTCTCGTTAGCACTGCTAAATTTTGGCAAAGATTTTTGCCATTGCAACCACTCAAATCTTGCCATGTTCCAGATGTTGCCACACCATCAATTTACCATAAAATAGACTACCGGAATTTGATGCAGATAAGTTGCCCGTCATTTGAAAGAATACCTGGAGGACATCCACATCAAGTTTCCGTTAGTGTTCTGTTTCTGACAGCAATGTGACGGAGTGGAAACTTTGAAGCAATATCCAAAGGCGAGCAGTTACAATGATATAGATGCAAGTATAGCGGCTTAATAATACCGCAATTTAAGGATTAACAAAGACATCCACCACTTCATTTGACCACTTGAATTGCCCTCTGCTCCTATCCCTTCAAAAGAGATCACGATGTACAGCTCTAATGTTTATCACAATAGGCTTACTGGTCATTACTTTGTAGAGTAAGTACCATGTAAGAATGCCCAGGAGCAATGATCTCCTCTCAAGAGGTTAAAAATGGAATCAAATGGTATAGGCATTGAGTAGACTGTTTGGGCTTACACTCACTCTATTCGACGATTTCATGGAAGTGTAGGTAGAGGAAAGAAGAAAGAGAGGAGAGAAATCTGGTTTAATGTGGCCTCCAACCCTACTTAAATACAGGATGATGCTACATAAAGACCTAATACCCTTTAAACTAAAACATACATTATCACTCCCCTCAAGCTAGGTAATTTATCGAATAAATCTGCCAACTGATCCAAAAATTCAATTTATCACACATTTTGCAGAAGGTAATTTCTGTCAAACTATGTGACAATCAACCTTGATATGTTTGGTACATTAGTAGCAAACAGAATTGGACGCCCTATCAATAGCAGCTTGATAATCGCATGTGAGGGTCATTGGATCAATAGCTCCTCCATCATGTGCTTCAACAGAATAACTCACAAGTGGCATCCGTCATGGCTTCAAACTCTAAAACAGCAGTTGACCTTGTCACAACAGTTTGCAACTTGTTTTTTCACAACGTCTAGTTACCCCAAACAAATACACAGTATCTGGTGGTTAACCTTTTATTAGATGTAAGCATTAGAGGATGTACCATGATTTTCATAAAGAAAACCACCCTCGAGCACCTTCCATGTATCTCCAAATAAGTACATCTGATCCCAATGAATAGGTCTAGTGTGGCTAGCCACACTCATGGCAAAAGGCATGCCCTCACCTTGCAACCATCACGTAATTCAACTTTCCAGTTAATCTCTTCTATCGCATTATTTAACAACTCGAAGGGATTGCATGACATCAATTTGTCAATCAAATTGGGTGATCAACATAGCATCTCCGAAGGTCAAAGTTAACCACCACTTCACTAAAGCTACCAACCATGCTCGAGAAGATTATCTTGTACACTTCTTCAACCAACAAACTAAGCTCTCTACTCCCCCTAAGCAACAAAAGCAAGCGATTGCTCCATGTGTATTTCTCCTCATCTCCATCCAGGAAAGCATTCATTATACCTAACTAATGTAAAAGTCACTGAAACATCGAAAAAAAATTTAGGATATCAAATCCAAAATCTTAAGTTCTTAAAGTATACATGTATCCCAAAGAGAAGCAAAGTTAGATTAATTTAAAACCCTCTCTCACGTGAAAATTAGATCAAGAATGGCACGTGGAACTGATATACGAAGAATAGGACAGACAAGAACCATACAGGAAATGAAATATTAAATGGGGCATGACAACTTAGGAGTTAGCTCTAACACCATGTTAAAATGTCCAACCAAAAACTTGAACTATTAAATTAAGGGAAACTGCATGTATGCAAGACCCAAACAAGCTCTGTAGACAAGTGATGTGGGATTATCTTTAATAATAGCTTGAGGGATGCATTTTGACAAGTGGAGAAAAATATTTAAATAATCTATTTCATAGACTTGAGTATAACATTAAGCTACAAATGAGCTTTCAACTCCATAATTGAACTATATGGTCAATTTCACTATATAAGTCTACTTACAATCAACAATAAACTTATCAGCAGGGAGGTGCACAAGATTTCAAGTATTGTTACGCGATTAAGCATCCCTTCGTCATAGCAGCTTTCCAATCAGGATGTCTAAGGAATTCACAAACAGATGAAGGAGTGGAAATACGGGATAGTGAAGTAATAACAGATGTACATTAACTTGATAACTGATAACATGAAACTAAAAATTTGATGGGAGGTACAAGTTCTTTTACTTTTTCAAAGAGCAGTTGGAAGAACTATCAATAGAATATGGATTTAGAGAAGAGGGAAGAGTTGGAGGAGTGCAGAATTCACCTCGCAATATGGTCTCGTGTACTCGACGTGGTTTTCCAAGACAAATGACCAGAGGAACTAAGAGGCTATGAGAGACATTATTGTCTATTGAAGACGCTTCCCGAAGGGCTTCTTTGATAAAGTGCTAAAGAAGTAAGTTTTGAATTTTAAGTGTTGACAATCTTAAGTGCTTAAAATAATAGGGAAAATGACACAAATAGTCCCTGAACTTTGACCCAATGTTCAATATGGTCCCTAAACTTTTAATTTGTTCAACGTAGTCCCTAAACTTTAACCCAATGTGCAATGTAGTCCCTGAACTTTAAATTTGTTCAATGCCATCCCTAAACTTTTGGTACATGTTCAATTTAGTCTCTGAACTATGTGAAAATGTTCAATGTAGTCCTCCCATTAATTCAAGTTCAAGGACTACATTGAACATTTTCACATAGTTCAGGGACTACATTGAACATATATCAAAAGTCCATGGACCATATTAAACAAATTAAAAATTCAAGGACCACATTAAACATTAAGTTAAAGTTCAGGGACTACATTGAACAAATTAAAAGTTCAAGGACCACATTGCACATTAGGCCAAAGTTCAGAGACACTTTGTGTCATTATCCCAAAATAATAATATAAGGTTATTTGATGATTCTAATAACCATCAACTATTTGTAATGAACAAATTAAGTAACCCATTCCTTACCAATTTTAGTGGATTTTTGACTTGATTGAATCTTTTAGGTGAATGCTAAATAGGGTTATCAAACAAACCTAATCTCATTAAATCGGGTTATAAAACAGGCCTTAAGTTTTTCCAACTCCTAGCTATATAGTCTCCTGATTAATGTGAACTGGGATATAGATATTTTTTATACATCTCAAATTAAACAATGTCCACTTACACGTCAAAGAATGCACATTCTAACAAAAAAAATTTCTTGCACAGGTCTGTTGCATGACTTTACTCTCCCATTGTAAACCAGGTTTAACTCCTCAAACCTGTAGAACTAGATTTTAGAGCTTTTGGTGGCTACATAAGTCTCCGAGTAGAAAAGTCCAAACAAAGTGTTTTGAGCAGAGTACTAGGATTGATTATCAAACTGTATAACTGGAGAGTTCAAGGTGGGGGAGGAAGCATCCTGTGCACAGAGGTACCCATGGGTGAGGTCCACTGCAGCCTTCCCCAGCTCTCTTGGAAAGAGGCTATTTCCATGGGCCATACCCCGTGACCTTAAACTCACAAGTGATCCTACCATTATGCCAAGCCTAGCCCTCGCATGACAAGAGAGCACAATGCACACCACACTCACATGTACATACATTGGCGCAAATGCACATAACTCAGAAGAGTTACCTTTTCAAGTTCATTCAACAAGATGCGACACATTCCATGACGACGGAACTGAAACCTGGTCCCCACTAGGGGTACTTCTGCCACCTTGTCCCCAAGCACCCTTGAGCACAGAAAAATTAAGTTCTAGAAGTCAAGATACTCGAGTAATAACGGGGTGATCTAACAGAAAATTATGAAATGAAAACTCAAAAAGTTCTAATAGCATATAAAGCAAAACGCATGTATAAAGCCTAAATTACCAACTCATTACCTGACACAAGCCACTGAGATCAACTCATCATTTTTCTCCAATAATACCGTATAGAATCCTCTGAAATTCAGACGTTTAAGCTCTGATCTGCAAGGTCACAAGACAATGGAATCATTAAGCAACATTGCTTGGTATTTTACATAAACATAAGAACAATTTTCACTTGAATGCAAAGTAACAGTGCCGTGCATGATGTTTTGGTCATCCATGAGTGCTCAAGTCCAGTGTTAAGTTCTCAATTTTGTCTCCCTCTATTTCTTTTTCTCTTTTTCTTTTCCAATTGGGCAAGCAAAGTTACTTTTGCAAGTATATCCACACTTCAAAGAAAGGCATTTAGTGACATACAACATTATGAAACATAAAAGTGGAAGGAAGTTCATCTAGGTTTCTGATTCAGCTTCCTTATCCTATAATCAAAGAAAATAGATTGTGAAAAAGCACCTTCAAGAACATTCCCGTCATCAAAGACTTCGGCATCAGGGTGCAGTTCACATAGTGAAAAATTTCCTAGATGCAACTTTTGCATGCAGATACAAGAAGGCATCAAGGCAAACGGATAATTTGGAATAGCCACGGTCACTCAACCAGGAAAGAACCTTTCACCAGTAATGAAGAAGATACAACAAATGCAATCCTCTCGGAAACTTTTGCCTCCAGTAAGTGCTAGAAAACTGCTAGATAAGCTGTTTATGCATGTGATGTAAGCACAATCACATGCGACATGGCTGTATGTCTAGCAAATGAGGGTATAAATGGGACATTTTAAAACCTCAAAACTAGACATCAGTTGCCCTCCTTTAACAAGTCTTATTCATTGGGATGGGTTGAAGTGGCAACTCAAGAATTTGGACTTGCTTCTTCGTTTCTTTATGAGATGATGGTAAATCATTTCTTGCTTATGCTACGAAGAATGTGCAGTATCTTAACAGAATGACAACACCAAAGAGTGAATAAATCAAACTATAGTGAAAATGGCAACACTATAGTAAATGTACACAAAAAGAACTGTTCATATTTGATGAAAATCAAAATTTCCCACCCTCGACTAAAAATAATATCCTCAATGAGATCCCTCTTGGCGTAAGGCTCCTTTACAGGCTCGAAACATTCGTGTATCACATCAATGGCAACATTCAGCTTGCAGTTAGTTTCTATCACGGACTCGATATGACGATCACCAACATCAAGGTAATCAGTATCAATAGACCTTGATAGGGTCCATGTCAAATTCCCCATGCCCACTTGAATTGGCTTCCTCAAGAGTCTATTAAGCCCAAGAAATATCTGCAAAAGTGATTCCATATTCAGTAGATGCTATAGCTACGAATGCATCCTGCAATTGTACGTGTTTTTAGCATCTTGATGTAAGGATGAAATATCAAGCAGTTAAAACAGTGTTCATTCCATCATTTCAAAAAGGGGGAAAGTATAAATAATATACCACGCCTCTCACCCAATGACCACTTCCATACCTCTACTTTTGAAAATGCCAAATACATACCTGACTTTTACCTTTGGAAACCACTTTGCACATTCACATCAATTATCATTGTGTTCCTATTTACAAAAATATCATTTTCTTTCTAAAAATCCCATCCTAAATTCTCACACCCACCCAAAACACTCAACACCAACCAAGAACCAAACCACCAAAACCCTAAGCAAGAGAGTTTGCAAGGAAAGGCAATTTGGTCTTTTCCTAGTGGAATTTATGCTTAAAGATATGTGCGTGACATTTGCAAAAATAGAGGTATATAAGTGGTCATTGGGACAATGGTGAAGTATGTTTTTAATATTTTCCCTAAAAAGAAAGGTGTTGGATTTCATGCTGCCCAGGTATGGCCTTTTATATTCCACATGATGCTAAAACTCAAGTAATACCTACTTGCTAATTCCAATATGAAGAGTGTTTGATTCAGAAGATATGCAACTGTAGACAACAATTATGATCATAAAGCCTTTAAGAAATTGCTCACTCTGTACCGCAACTTAGAGATGATATATATTCCAGACAAACAAAAGCTTGCCATTCAAACATCTAATGTACAGAGGTAATTCTCAATTTAGGAAAATAGCAGTAGTAGGTATGACTGTAAACAAAGACACGACGAAAAGACAGGCTATTGGGATCTAGATAAACAGAGCTTTAAACATGAAAAAGTTACTGCTATTATAGATCATCTTACTTCATTTCGCTTCAAACCAGAAAAAGAAAACAATAAACAGCCAAAATTAGATGGAAAGAGGATAAGGACGCTAGGTTGGAGTAGCAGACTAGGAATTATCCAGTATCAGTCGAACATTTGCATGTTACCATTTGCAGGCAACTCAGAGTCAAAGTGCTCAAAGTATCTATAATTGCATTACAGCACTTCCAAGTCGTGATAAAGTTGAAATAATCAGCACTAACTGGCTTAGGTAATCAGAAGAGAAGTGCCGAGTTTCAGAGTACCGTTTTGCAGTTCTTGCTGCAATACCAGTCCTTTTTGGAATGAGCTTCCAAGTTAGTTGCTCCTTTTTTCCTCAGGCACCCTAAGTGATCTGAAAAGAAACAAACAGCGAGTTCAGAAATACCTAAATGCATAGCTAAGAAGCACTTTAAGTGTGTTCTTATCAGTCTGTATGCATGTGTTCAACTAGCAGGCCTTATCTAAGGGGTCAAATATATGAATATCTCACATTTACGCTCACACTGCTTGCAAGTTAAAGCATTCTCATCGTCCATATACTGCATAGCATCTTCTTTGAGTTTGCTTTGGATGCAAATAGCACAACAGCATGACGGGCAAAACCAGTCACCTTGAGGAATTTCCTATTGGGGACAGCAAATATAAAAGTTTAGTGCCACAAATACTATATGGACGAGGAAAAAAATAATGAAAAGTTAATCTCACTATTCTCGTATTAATCAAATAAATCACCTACCTTCAAGCCAAGGCAAATCTGATGGAATGCGGAGGGACATTGATCACACAAAATTAACTCGCCTCCATAATGACAGACTGAGCATATGCAGTCATTTTTGCCATTCTTCCATTTTCTTTTGGTCTTATCATGTTGCTCGATTGTGAATCTACTCATTCTTCTATCACTTAATAGCTGCTTCTGGCAGTCCAACAGCGACCTGCCATCTTCCAAAAATATGCAGGAAGCTATTTTCTGGTCTTCTCGGCCAGCATGATTTGCAAATCCACGTACAGTGAACAACTTTTTGCAACAATTGCACTTGATCCCTCCACGAATTACTCGTCCTTCAGCCAAAGTACCGCGATTCTTTCCCCTTCTGTAATATACTTTTCTTCTGGACAGAACTCTATCATTATCTGCCAACCAAGACAGTACATTCCGTGGATGCCGGCACAATGGACTGGGAACAACCTGCTGAATCCTTTTGCTTGATCTCCGAATGCGATTTGGACAATCAGCTCCCCTACCTCGAGCTTTTAACAAAGCTCGGGATGCCATACTTCTCGACCTGGCAGTGTCAGTGGGTTTCTGCTTTGTGTCTCTCGACTTTCTGTTGCAGCTGAACACACCTATACCAGTTAAACAATCTTCACTTTTACTTCCAATCAATTGAGATTCCCTACCATTGGAATGATCCATCCTCTTCATTCTTAGCCGCTTATCACCCCAGCGTTTTATTTCACCCCCACCAGCTGCTGATAATCCATTGTTGCCAGGATAAGGAAGCGCCAAAACAAACGAGTCATGACTCCGTTTCCTGGATGAATCGCATCTCATTTTGGGCTTTCCTCTCTCATCGATATCCTTTAGCTCCTTTCTTACAGCTAAGACATGGTTTTTCGCCTCAATTTTCACTTCTCTTTTTGCCTTATGTTGTGTATAGAAAGTCTGATCAGATCCAGGCTTGTTAGTGGGCACAACAGCTCGAGGACTACATATTGATCTGACATCAGGCACACCAATACTTAATGGTGCTACAGCTTTTGAAGGATTGGGACCACAACCAGTACTAGTGTCGCAATAGTCAAAAGTTGAAGGCAAGATAAGATTATCACCTGAAGCGACCAAGCTCTTGTTATTGTCTGATGATATTCGAATACGTATTCTCCCATTGACTTTCCTTAAATCTTGGCAGACTTCTATAAGTGAGTAATAGCACTTCCCATCGGGAGAGGTATACTTATACCTGGGGAAGTTAATGCTCTTCAAGAATTCAATTTTCCAGCCTAGAAATGACAGGTGCTCTCGCACATCTGCCTTTAAAGAATTTCGATCATTCCAGCTGATATTAGACGCATACTTCATAATAGCATACGGACAGCATTCAGCTTGTGAAGTCATGTCACGACCAACAAGCTGCCAAGAGGTTTGACATTTTCTTTCATTTGAATCTGTGGCTTTCTCATTTGCCTTATCAGAGTGTCCTTGACAGGTGACCGAAAAACTCTGTTGACAATTTTCAGCTGAAATTCGTGAAGCCTGTGGTGTTTGGCGGGTTATATTTGACAAAACAGCACCATCTGTACGAGACAACCCATTTTTTATCTTAAGAGCGACTGCGTCCGGATCATGCATATGTTCAACAGATTGCGTGGCGGTGCTATTTGAAAAGGGGCACTCATATCCCACGTCACTAGGTCCAGAAAGTTTCAAAACACCATCCACAACACCATATTCAGAGCTCGTCAACTTTTCACTGCAACAGGTCTTGTCCACGCTTTCATCCCAAGCCGCTATGCCACTGTGATTTACTTTAGAAGACAGTTCAGGTAACTCCAACAGCATACAGCTTTCTTCCATTGAGTTTCTCGATCTTGGCAAGTCTAAAAAGGAAATAAGATCAATTGTAGCAATTGCAAGGTTTTCACTGATAGTTTCCAACACCAGCTTCTCCCACAAGGCCTTATCCCTAGATGTCCACTTACTCCTTTGAAAGGCTTCTTTTTCCCGCAAATCATACCATATCTGCTTCAAGGAAACAGGAATAGGCCATTCTTGCTCATACAACTGAATTAAGTCAAGGAACAACCAGGTCCCTCGACTTTGCCATTTCTCTGTAGTCTGATCCCAATCTTGAGTAACTCTGATATTAGCAAGTCGAGTCAACATTTGATCACCCAATTCCGGAAAGAAAATATTTCTCTTCTCCGCACCAACATTATGGTCAAAAATCACTCCTTCCCACCAAGCGTCCATGTGGAATGCATCCACACACAATCCATATGAGAAGTCATTTGGACCAGTTACGTAAATAGGCGGCACTGGCCTTATAGAACCACGGTATTTATGCTGGTCAACTGTGCAAGAGACTAATCCATCTACAGCAGGTGGTACACGTACAGAGTCCACGAGTTTGCTAGAGCCATCATCAACGAGAATGTGATCATATTTGACGCACCGCATTCTAAGGCCGCAAGAAATGACAACTCCAGAGTGCCACGAGCCTTGGAAACCGTCGTCGTCACTCCTTACCTGCGTATATTGCGCAGACATCATCATTACGAAGAGAAATGCTGTAGAAAGTTAGGTGTTTCTCGTCATTTTGCACACAGGCGGTCGAGAAAACGAGAATTCAAACACAACCCCGCATAAATAATCAGACTACTAGCTCTGTCCTTCAGGTTCCCACTCGCTGAAAAAGATAAAGAGCCCAAATTCATCCTTGCATGCAACGGAACACGAGAAAACTCGGATTTACAGCCCAAAGGTGGGACCTTTATCCCATTTTTTTCCCCAGCAGAGACTCAAAATGCGGACGATGATCGTGAAGAAAGGCCACTTACCGGAACACTGCGGCCGTCACCAAACACCTACACGCACCAAAACACTCACCCCCGCGACATCAAAAAAATTGATGATCACCAACAACAGAACGACAATCGTCGGTACCGCATAGAGACTCCAAGAAAAAAAAAAAAACTACAAGGAAAACAACAGGAAGAGAAGGCGAGACACGACCCTTTGCTCCATACAACGTGAACGACCAAAAGGACACTAAAATGAAGCGATGCACGTAGCAAAAAAACAAACCCACAAAAAAAAAAAAAAAACACGCAGAAAGCCACGGGCATCAACCTCCACTTTCTCGCCAACCAGAAGCTTCGCTTTGCATTTCCTCGTACTGCCCTTCCTCCTGCCGCTCGATCCCTCCCCGTCGACGTCGCCGGCCATTCCTTCCGTCTGCCGGAGCGAGAAACGACGGCGAAGGTCGCGAGAAAGAGAGAGCCCAAAAACGCAAACGACGAAACGGAAGCGTCAGTGACCGGAGTCGCCCTCTCTCTCTCTCGCGCAGTTTCAGTGTCAGTCTCTCGCTCTCGCGAAAAGGGTAGACCAGGTCCAGGACCCCATGGGTGGGGCCCGAGGCGTGGGGGCGGGCGAATCACCGCCGTTCGCATTCCGGGGCCGTCCTAACGGACGGCCGCGATCCGGCTCGACCGATTGCTGGGATCAGGCGTCGCGGCATCTCGCTCGCCACGTCCTCGTACTAAACTTGCCTCATTCGAAAATATTGCGATCCCCTGCGGGCGCGCGTACGAAGGCTCGCGTGGCTCGGCCCAATCGCTTGGGGACGCGTCATAGCTTGCGGCCCAAGATGTAATCGCGCACGTATCTGTATAAATGTATAATCACACGTCATATTCTAAAGATTTTTTTTAATTATTTTTTTTATCTGGAGGTTTTTTTTTTTGAGAAATGATTTCTGTGCATTCTTTATGGATACCTTTACTTTTTTATTTATTTCTTTCAAATTACAATTTTTTTTTTGGATTTTGCAATTCACGCAATTTGACTTCAATTTAGCGCATAATACCTACAATTTTACATAATCATGTGACGTGATTTTCTAAAATAAAATTTATAATTTTCCAATGTAGTAAGAAACAAATTTTGAAATTCTTTTCTCCAAATGAAAACAGATAGCTCTACCCTTGTTTTTTCTGGCCATAGACTAAAACCTTGCATTTAAATATAAAAAAAAATAGAGAACATAATTGATTATTAATAATAAAGATAAACAGCCGTAAACCCTTATTTTTTTGCTTTAGGAAATAATTAAAACCTAGCTTTTTTTTTTTATAAAAACACATCAAAGACCTCGATTAATGAAAGAAAGGAATGGAGAAACTTTCTAAACACTCCTCTGCCTCGGCCCTCTTGCAAGAATTATTGCCAAATTGTGGAGACGCCATTCTATTTAATTTGCCTAATCACCTTAGATATTTCCACTACTCCCCATAAATTGCGAGATTATATCCATGATTGACTATTTTATTTCCTATTGGAGATAACAAAAGAGCTAGTTTTTTAGTTTTAGCGTGAAGATTAAGATTACAAGAGATTATCACGTGTTTGCAACTTATTATATTATGTTGTCTGTATAGGAAAAAGTTTACGATCACACCCGCGCAACCCTCGGTTTCATAGCTAGCTCCGGTCCGAAGATGAGGGAGAGGGTGGTGATCTGATTCCGATGGAGTCCAAATAACACAAAGATGATTTGTTGGTATGGATTTCGTAGCATGCTGTATACACTTGAGAGAGATGGCTAATTTGTGGGGGAGAGAAGGTTAACTTAATTACTCGATTCATTAAGTTCTAGAAAGGTAATTTGGCTAATCAATTTTAATATGGTATGTGTAGAAAAAACCTATCCCTAAATTATATTATAAAAAAAATTTTGGTTTCTTACATAAACATTATATCATGAGTAATATCGACTGGTTTGGAAAAAAATTGGTAGGATTCTAATTTGAATACTTGATAGTTTACCAAATTCACATTAAGGCTGCATCATCACAACTTTAAGGAAAAAAATCATGATGACGAAGCTAATAATCGTTGGCATTCTTGCCATTTCTATCATGAAAGAGAAGATGCAGCCAGTAAATTACTTTTGGGTGCAAAAGCATTTACATATATTTCTCTCATAAATCACAATCGCTTGGCGAGCTCCACAGATAAATTCCTTATTTTAACATATCGGTACTCGCACGCTTCACACCCAATTCCCCTTGTATAGAGAAGGAATACCGTCAAGTAATTTTACATCCTGATGATCCTTAGATTCGAACGAGAATGGAAATGAAACCTTTTAAGAACTTGCTTAGATCTCAAATTTGGTGAAAGGGAGAAATAAAGAGAAAAACGGTGTAAGATACCGGGAACCGGTTCAGCAGGTAAAAAGTTGCAAGAAACCTCAATGGACGGTCGGGATTCGTTCAACCTTCTGTCCCGAGGCGCCTATAAGTACGGGCTGGAGGCGGACCGACGCGACTGAACTCTGGAAAAGTCCCATTTTCAGGTCGGTGATCCCGGAGAGAAGGTACCTGCCGAAGCCCCCGTCACGCCGCCGGCGACACCGCTCACGGCGGTCCTTCACCCTCCCGTGCGCACATACGAGCCTTGGCGAGAGGTAACTTCCTGCGCTCGTAGCTTTTGCCTTTGGGCCTGCCTGTCTAACCACCCATGGTTGCGTTATCGAGCATGTAGCGAAACAGAGGGGATCTCTGTGTTAGGGTTTTGGCGAGCTCTGCTTTCGTTTCCGGGCGGTTTGCTTCCCGGGTGTGGGTTTCTCTTGCTTTCTCTGTCTTATCTCTGCCGGGACTGGAAAGCACGGTGTGATTTTATCAGTAGTTCGGACTTTGTTCTTCTTGTTCCCTTGGGAAGAGATGGCACGACTGTTGTGCGGAGAGACAATTTCTTTTGTCCGTGGAGTTACGGCATGCAGCTGCACTTGGCCGTTCTTTATGCGTGGTTCCAAGAACATGGGCTGTCTTTCGGCTGCGTTTCTGAATACCCTGTCGACATAGCTTCGTCGTCTAGTCTCCTGACCCAGTTCTTTGTATTAAAGCCATCTGCTTTCTGCCGTTCTGCACCAGATTTAATTCATTTAGGCTGTGCTGAGTTTGGGGTGCCCCGATGAGATTTGTTTGAGTCTAAGTAATACCCTGAAACAATGGAGCGCATACCGGTAGATATGTCTGACTTTCATGCCATGAGGCCGCTGGAAATAATACCCTGAAACAATGAGCTACCTGGATGCTAGTGACTTGGGCATTTCTTCAATTTTGGTTAAAATCCCAAAAGGTTGTGCTTTGAGTTTCAATGAGATGTTAGGTGCTATGAAATTGCAGGTGTTTCCTTTGTAGACAGTAATGAAGTTACGCAAAGAACTTTAATCTCATAGTTTTATCGTATCGGTCCAGTGATGGAAAGTTGCAAGCCTATTCAATGGGTCCTTTCCTCGCCAAATATAAATCTCCCTTTTGGGGACAGTTGCTGAGTAGTAACTTGTATCTTTGATTTCGGTTATGTTGGTTTTTGAGGTGCAAAGGCTTTAAAGCGAAGCTCCCTTGAACGCCAGATGCGAAGGGCTTGATATGGAAATTGGACAATTGGGTTCTATACTTTCTTTATGTAGGATAGTATTGCCACTGCTCTATTTATCTTTTTGTCGGCATCCTCCCCGAAGAAGTCTTGTCCTTAGTTTGCAATGGTAGGTGTATGGTGCTTTCCGACTTTACTTAGTATAGCTTGCAGTGAGTCAGATTGTTAGTAAAATTAAACTACAGTTGGTGAAATAAAACGTGACATGTTGTGGATTTTGCATTTGCGTGTTCTATAGGTCTAAAACCTTCCTTGAGCTTTATGGTAATAACACCGGAAATAACTCTTGGTCAAACTTGAGTAAAGTTCATAGAATTGATGACGAGCAATCATATTATGCATGTTCTAGCTCTGGAACTCTTATTGGACAGTGTCTGTTGAGTAACCCATACTCTTTCTGCTTGTTATCCGGTTCTTTAGAAAGAATTTAAGTATGCCCATATTTCTGTCCCAAGATTTACTGACAATCACCTGCTCCAATGCTTGGGTGGTATTAAGATTGTGCATGTTTTTGGGTTTAGGATGAGCAAAGAGCTACATCCATTGTGCGAGCAGGCGGGAATAGGTTTTGGCCGCCTCTGCCATGTATTAATGAGAAACTTCTCATTAATGTTCATAAGACAATGTCCAAAAAGGTGAATAGAAGTAGTTGTAATGTCTAGGTTTGGGTTCTTTGAACTAAAACTCTTGCACTTTTCGCCATTACTCCAACATCATCAGAGTAAATCTGCTTCACAAGATAACATCTGCACTTCATTGGAAATAGATATCGGTAGCTGAGATGGGTCTCTCTCTCAAATTGTTTTCAAACTCCTTTTGTTTTCTGCTGCTATTCTGGTCCATCCCTCTCTACTTCTTTCTGCTTGCGTCTCTCACCTTATTTTGGCAAGGATGGTCTTGGCCTAGGTTCACCTCTTCCCTGTTATCATCCCTCAGAGGGAACGATTTCTATGATCTATCACTTTAATACCAAATCAATTTACGTTGCATATCTATTTAGTCCCATTTCACATAATTGTATCAATTTTTACTTGGTACTGCAACTTTTTCCCATTTCACATGGCGTGGCTCATCTTTCTTTTTCTTTTGGGAGGATGGAGGGTTGTAGGGGAACATTGCTTCCATGTAACCAAAGATTCAGTTAAGTCATATTAATGATGTGTTCTTTGATAATATTCTTTGCAAAAATACAAAGGAACCTCATTTTTGTTGTCTAGAGTTGTTTGCATTATGTTGTCTCACCTAGTTTCTATCTGGCATTCTCACCTTTTGCATAACAGCCGATGGCCACTAAACCAACTAGTGTCCAGATACCTTCTGATTGCCAAAAGCTATATGGGGAAGACAAAAAGATTCAGATAGCTTGTCTCATCAGTTTGATGACAGTGTCTTGAAAATTTGTGGGATGTCTTCTCCTCTTAAAGCTTATTCTGTCCACTTCAAGATCTAGAAGTTCAGGCAAAACCTTTAATATGTTAACTCTCGCATTGTTTCAAAAACGGATTTGGCATTTTAATTAGATTGATTTGGCCACTAGTCTGGTTTAGTACATTATACAACTGGCAAATCTGTTTCAGTTTGAACTGTATTTTGACCTTTAAAAATGTTATAGTATAAATTGTTAGATGGTCAAATTAGTTTTAATTTACCTGTTAATCATTTCCTATGATAGCCTGTTCGTTTTGTAGTGAATCTTTGTTATTGTGCCCTTTTTTTCTGTCAAAACTCTCTGCTTGGCCCAACTGATTGCTGATTATATGTTCAATGATGAGGAAGTATAACTTTGCGTGGCTATGATATTTGCAGCTTCCTACCGTCTGTGTTTTGCTGCTAGAGGCTCGTCGAAGACAACATGGCCAAGCATCATCCTGATTTGATCATGTGCAGGAAACAGCCGGGAATTGCCATCGGACGACTCTGCGAGAAATGTGATGGGAAGTGTGTCGTTTGCGATTCCTACGTCCGCCCATGCACGCTGGTACGCGTGTGCGATGAGTGCAACTACGGTTCTTTTCAGGGCCGCTGCGTCATCTGTGGGGGAGTGGGAATCTCCGATGCTTACTACTGCAAAGAGTGCACGCAGCAGGAGAAGGACAGGGACGGGTGTCCAAAAATCGTCAATCTAGGAAGCGCTAAAACCGATCTCTTCTACGAACGCAAGAAGTATGGTTTTAAGAAACGCTGATGGTTGGGCGATGTTATGACATCAGCTCACTGCAATCCAATGATCGGCAATTTCGAAGAGGATCGGATTGCCATGAAGGCGGTGGGCAAATCCTGTTTTTAGCCTAACTTGTCAGCAATGTAATCGAGAGGCATGCGATGGATATTGTTCTTGAAGGAGATGATACTTTCTGTTTTGGTCTGTGAGTTAGTCATAGCATTCGGGATTTCTGTGGAGTGACTATGGAGAAATTTGAGTTTGATATGTTCTAAACCTCATTCTGTTTTAGTAGGTACAATAAGTCATACTCTGCTCGTATTTCCTTTGTTAACTAGGAACCAGAATTTGATTGGGGAGCACAAGTTTTCTGTTCACCATCTGGTGAGTGGGAAGAGTCGGATGGGTAGCCTAGGATACATCTTCCAATATGCCTGGTTCTTAGGAGAACCTATTCAATTGGGTCCCGCTAATATTTAACTCTTTCGAGTACTTCTCTTTTCAGGGACAGAGCTCTTTTGCAAAAAGGGGGACAAAAGAATTATTATGCAATCTACACAGCATGCTCCACTTTATTAATGAACCTTTCCGAGAATGTCTCAGACTTTCTGTCACTGAATAGGATATTCCAGAACGGAACTACATTACATCCTTGACCCTGGTTTTACAGAACGAGTGAAATCGGCACACCTGTGCGGCGTCACGAAGTTCGTCTTATGATTATGGCATGACCTCTAGTACGTTTCTTACTAGTACATCTTCTTACTCTCGGTTTGACTTGCATCACGCGATCGCGACAAGCAGAAGAAACAAATTCAACTGAAATGTGAAATTAACCGAGACAGCACGTTACAATGCAATCAAAACCAACCTTAGTCAAACAATCAACATACATTCCAAACAAAGATTTTCACCATCCAGAGGTTCACGAGCACGTCGAAGCTGCTTGATACACTGACATTACGTTTCGACTGTGCCACTTGTAGAAAGTATCTTCTCGCCACGTAAGCTTCAAGATCTCATCTCTCTCTCTCTCTCTCTCTCTGAGTCTCAGGGCACCACACTCGACCCATCCAAACGAGTAAATATTGGGCACCACTTTCGAATGCGAAAGAAAAGAAAGAAGCAGGAGCACGGGCGCCGATCGTTCTTGTTCTCCAAGAATTGCGGGAAAGACGTCTCCTTTTGCCAAAAGCAAGCCAACCCATTTTCAATCTTTACTCCCTGAATAGTTTATATGAGCTAGCGGGGAGCGGCGGAAGATCAGAGAGAGTCAAGAATGGCATGGTTCCGAGGCTTCGTTCAGGTCTCCAACATCAAGAACTCGGCACGACCCGCCAGATCCACCACCCACCTCCTCACCTCCCTCTCGCACTTCAGCTCCGCCGCCGGCGGGCCGGCGCTGGCGGCGGCGGCGGCGCGAGAGCAGCCGGACCTGGCCCCGACGAGGCCCGGCGAGAAGCCGAGGGTGGTGGTGCTGGGTTCGGGCTGGGCGGGCTGCCGGCTGATGAAGGGCCTGGACACCAACGCCTACGACGTCGTGTGCGTGTCGCCCAGGAACCACATGGTGTTCACGCCGCTCCTGGCGTCGACGTGCGTGGGGACCCTGGAGTTCCGGTCCGTCGCCGAGCCCATCGGGCGGATCCAGCCCGCCATCTCCACCGCGCCCGGGTCCTATTTCTTCCTCGCCAACTGTACTGGGGTCGATGCTGACAATCACTCGGTAAAGTTTGTTCTTTGTGTGAAATCATCGGTCGTTGACTCGATTGCAATACCGAATTCTTGTCAGTAGTAGTGCTCAAGGACTTTGCTTCGGGGGCTCGTTGACAAAATGCCTTAAGAAATGCTGTCGTAGAGGGATTAAAGTATTGTTGCTTGCTGCAAAATTTGTGGGAGCTCGATTCATCTACTTCATGGTATGATTCAGTGTAGCTCCACATGTTGGCCACTGTGATCGTTACAATTTGGCAAGTAACTGAGGTTATGCATGACTTTTTGGTGGGATTTGCTTTTTGGATGTGTCTATGGCTTTTTGTGCCGGTAAATGCTTAAAACGTGGTAACTTTCTTTCCCTGTGTCTAAGATGACTGGGCCATGATCTCCTGTTGGTAAATCTGTTCCAAGCACATTCATTTTGTCGTAAGCCAATCCATTATTTACTACACTTAGCATTCATGTGAAGATGAACATGTTTACTACGGGTTTACCATCAGGGCTATCCTCTACGGACCCCTGGAAACAGTTTACCTCCACTTAGGACTTGGGGCTTCTTCTTAAGTTGCCACAAATTGAGATAAATCATTGAGCTGTTAGGTGTTACCTGTTGTGCTGGACATCTGCATTCGTGATCATATTTCTATTTCTCTGATGTTAAATTCTATTGTACAGCAAATAGAGATGTTGTTTCCAACGATAGTGATCAGATGTGGCTTTATTTGGCACATCAATCTCACTTTGATTAGTTCGTATTACCAAGTGGGCCACGAAATTGACGCGGTGATTGGGCTGTAGTTTTCGTTTTGGATTGGACTTGAGTAAAAGTGAGTGAGAGTGGAAGGAAATCAATAATCTCAATGCAAAAATTATGGGTTGGCTTCTTTTTAGAGGTCTTTATGTTGGATTCCTTGGATCTTTGAGTTGTCTCGTGGTCTGATTTCTTTGTGCATAGAAGCTTCAGACATACGTCACTTTTATCCTAGAGTATCTTACTGAGCTGTTATTTTTAATCTACTGATTTCATTAATAGAAGAAGCTCCCATTTTCATTTATGAAAATGCGAAATATATTGGAACTGTTCAATCATCCTTTTCTTTTACTGTGTTAGTGCTTCTCTTTCAGATAAGGTGAATTTTTTTATGAAACGTTATTAAATGATCAGAATGGAATCAGCACTAGTTAGTGAGCTCTTAATGTTAGTGCTTCTTTGGACGTTGAAGGTGCATTGCGAGACCGTAACCGATGGAATCAGCACTTTAGAGCCTTGGAAGTTTAAACTTGCTTATGACAAGTTGGTTGTAGCGTTAGGGGCAGAGGCCTCAACTTTTGGAATCCACGGTGTGAACGAGAACGCAATATTTCTACGTGAAGTGCACCATGCACAAGAAATCCGCAGGAAGCTGCTCCTGAACCTGATGCTATCTGATGTGCCTGGTATGCTAGTACAGTTGGAGTCACATCATGACCAGGCTGTTGCTGTATTTACCTTTTCGTATCTTATGTGATATCTAGTCAAGTCACTCAGTTTACCTCCATATGGTTTTAGTTTCAATTTTTTGTTTATGCAGGTATTTCAGAGGAAGAAAAGCGCAGGCTCCTACATTGTGTCGTTGTTGGAGGGGGTCCAACAGGTGTAGAGTTTAGTGGTGAACTGAGTGATTTCATTACGAAAGATGTTCATCAAAGATATGCACATGTGAAAGACTACATCCGTGTTACCCTGATAGAGGTTTTTCCCATAGCAAATTACTTTACATGAGTATCGGATTATAATGCATTTCAGCTTTGGCCAAATCTAATTTCCAAGTCATTATTACAGGCAAACGAGATATTATCTTCCTTTGATGATCGTCTTCGGCAATATGCTACAAAGCAGCTGACAAAGGTTGGGGATGTTATCCAATACAGAGAATTTATTAGTCATGCAAGAAGAAACTGCAACATCTGGATTGTCTTGTCTTGCCATGTTCACGTTGAAAGACTAATTTATCAGTTGGTGCTTCGGCTGAAGGAGCCATCGTGTCATGAATTTGAAAGAGAAACCTTTCTGGGAAGAATTTCTGTTTCTAAAAGCATTCATTGAGGCAAATAAATGGGATATCTATTTCGTCTATTTGTTTCACTTTAGCATGTCAATTTATATTCTCGTATTTGCAGTCCGGAGTTCGTTTGGTCCGAGGTGTTGTGAAGGATGTCAAATCTCGGAAGATAATTCTCAGTGATGGCACAGAGGTTCCTTATGGGCTGTTGGTGTGGTCTACTGGTGTTGGTCCCTCACCTTTTGTGAGATCTCTGCAACTTCCAAAATCCCCAGGAGGGAGGTGAATTTATGAGTCCATTTGTCTTAGAAACATTGCTTTACATTTTAGTTGGGAATGATAAAAGTGTGATGCGAGGTTTTTAATTTCAGATGGGTGGTGAAATTCTAAAGATTCGATGAATCTTGGTTTTAATGTTATTCTAAAAGAGAGTAGTGAGTTTGTTCATTTCAAATGCAAAAATGAAGGATGATAAACAATGAAAATACAACAATACTATTCAAGAACTGCAGGCCTTTATATCATATCTTGCCCAGGTTTTCACAGACACTTTGTTCCCCTTCGCACTCTGATCTTAATTGTTTGTACGATGTGCTTTTTATGCCAACAATCGGCTAATTCTCTGTGAAGTAACCAGCATTTAAGGCTAGAAGACAATAGGGTATGTACTAAATTAGGAAATGAGCAAAGGGTAGAGTGGTCGGACACATTTTCCTTGTCTGTGTCACTCTGAACAAAACTTATAATCTTCAAATTCATAAAAAACTTAATCTGGGAGGTTATGACATTTTTGTGGAAGTGTTGCGTCCTAATTATCGATCTGGTGGATGTCTTCTCTTCCCTCCACGCTCTTTATTGAGCATTGGTTGAAATGTTTGCTTTGAGTCCTCCAAATGAAGTATTTCCATATATAGTGTTTTCTTTTGGGTTCCATCATGTAAATTCCTGTGCTGCACGTTTGGTGTTCTCTGGTTATTATTTTCCAGTCTTCCTCTTCTGTCTGATGACAAGGCAACTGTGTGCTGCACGAGTAAATCCATCTGATTTTACAGGATTGGTGTTGATGAGTGGCTTCGAGTTCCTTCTGTTCAGGATATATTCGCAATTGGCGATTGCAGTGGGTTCTTGGAAAGTACTGGCAAGCCAGTCCTTCCAGCTTTGGCCCAGGTGGGCATCCTGAGCTTTTCGATCTTAATATCCTGTAATTATTCATCACATCTAAAGATCAGTGAGAACTCTCAAGATGGTTGGTTTCTGTCCTTTTGTTCTGTTAGGTATTCATTGGCAGAGTTAAAATTTGCTTATTCAACTCATTACTTTGGTAAGAGTAGATTGTGGCATTCTTTATTGATCAGCTTTGGAAACGATCGGTTTTTCAGAGGCAGGTCACTTCACTAAGTGACAATTACATTATGTCTGTTTACTACTGAGAAAGATCTGAATCTTAACCTTCCTTTTTTCTGAATCATTTTACGTTGGTTACATCTAATTCTTTCCAATGATGATGATTCGCAAACCTCACCAGAAAATGACCTGAGTTTTGGACTTGTTGCTCATTGCACCCCAGAGCTAAAATGTAGTATTTCATCCTTTAATTTCGAAGCACTGCACTTTGCATTTAAGATGGTACTGTAAAACCCTGAAATTCTTGGGGTGTGTTGCTTTTTGTACCCCTAAAAAATGACATGAGTGACTTCTACTTATAACTATTACCTTTTCTCATGTGTCGTGGCTCTCACAATTTGATTGTTTTTAAAGTAAACAAGTTGAGACCTTTCAAAATGTACCAATATTGAGATGTAGGACCATGTATCTTTTTTTCTCTCATGTAGAGCCAGATATGATATTTTCTCGTCACTACTTAAAGCTTTACATCTCTTTCCATCTTCAAATTTTTGAAAGGAAAGTGACAAGTACGAAAAGAAGCTTAGACAAATAGACCTTAATCAAAGACTACAAAGACCAATACCAGTTAAGATTGTGAGGTGCCATGTAATGTATAGTGCGGTGTGCCATATCTTATTGAAGGTGCAAATTGGCAATTTCCACGCATATTTGCCATTCTACGAACAGCAGTTGGAGAATATCAACTGCTCAATCAATGATTGTATCTGGAAAGATGATTCCTTGCCATCTGATGCGTACTTTTCTGCATGAGCAGGTCGCGGAGAGACAAGGGAAGTATTTAGCAGAGTTACTAAACAGTGTAGCTAAAGCTGGAGGAGGGCAAGCAAACAGCTCCAAAGAAATTGCGTTAGGAGATCCCTTTGTCTATAGGCATCTCGGAAGCATGGCCACCATTGGGAGATATAAAGCTCTGGTGGACCTTAGGCAGAGCAAGGTGATCTAATCAGCTTTCATTGAAATTACTGGTAATCAAACGGCTCAATGGGCAGACTAATTTAGAGTTCATTTTTTCCTTCTTTTGCAGGAGGCCAAAGGGTTGTCACTGGCAGGATTTACCAGTTGGTTTATCTGGCGCTCTGCGTACCTCACTCGCGTCGTAAGCTGGAGGAACAGGTTCTACGTGGCCATAAACTGGTTCACGACTTTCGTTTTCGGTCGCGACATAAGCCGAATATAGTCGTCAGGGTCCAACACTATAGATTCATTAATTCAGACACATACTAGCGTTGATGCTTCTTTTATCCTTCACTTTTAGAATATTGATGACAGAGTTGCAAGAGGCTGGATGCACAACAGCTTGTGGTGTTCTATGAAACAATAATGCTTAAATATAATGTGTATAATTCTCTCGTAATAGACGCAGATTTACGTGTTATTGTATAATGTTGGCATTTTTATTTAATGCAGATTAGTGAGATGACATATATCTGTGCGTCTTGTCATCTTGGAATGGTATGCTGATTCAACTATGACCCGTCATTTACCTGGTTTTTGCGTATAGTATAGTGAGAGATATTGGTTCGACATTATTTTAAGTGCTAAAATCAGTAGCATCAAGGAGCTTTGGTCTCGCTGAACAGCTTTTGCAATGTGTTCATGAGCCTAAACTAGGCTGGTCAATGGGCCGTGCCGGCCCAGCACGACTGGGCCCGGGTCGGTCCAAGCCCGGCGATTTTGTTTTCTATGGATTCGGCTTTGGAGGTGGTTAGAGTACAATTCGTTGGGACATATGGCATGGACCAAATGAAATGAATTTTTTGCTGCCGAGCATTGATCTAGGGCTTGTCACTAGCTCGACCGGGGCCGGATTGATGACAGTTGAACACCCAACGGCGGATCGATGACAGTTGAACACCCAATGGCGGCCGGCTGTCGGGGAGATAAGCAATATATGCTCCCCTCCCGTCCCCAACAAATAGGTCCCTCCACCTCTCATTTTCTGGCATTTCTCAACCTCGTCCATATGTCGCTTTAACTCTTCAAAATTGTTTGTCAATTTCATGTATTTATTTTTTCATTATAACAATTTAAACTTGTTCTAAATATCGCAGTAAAGAATAACACTCAATTGTTTTCGATTATCCCAATTCAATTTATTCACCGTGTGTATTGTCACGGGACTTGTTCAATAAGTTCCGTTGTCACAACGTATACGTGCTGGCTCCGCCCTCACGGCAAGCTGAATTCAATGTTGACATAACACAATGAACCGACGATTGGGAGGAATTGCAGTGGCGAAAGGTGCAAGCTGCCACGATGCTAGCGACCATGGCACTGGCTAGGTGGAAAAGAACGTCCAACATTTGGAGGACTATTTGACTCGAGATGGATGCCACTGGTGTCAAGAAGGCCGTTTGCAAGATATCTGGCTCCAAATTATTCTCTGAATCGTCAAGGCCGATGAGCCACTTGAGGAGGCACCAAGCAAAACATGAAGTAGAGATGTCTAGGGCCGGGGGAAGCTCTTCAAGTACAACGCCATATACCGGAAGCCTGCTCGAGGCAAGAAATCAGCAGGAGCTTGCTTTTTATTGTCTTACCATCGAGTAATCCTTTGGCTTCGTTGAAGATCCCTGCTTCGGCCGTTCCATGTGGATAGCTCTACAATCTCAGTTCAGACCCATTTTGCGAACAAGCACCAAAAACTACGAGTCGATGTACAATGAGAAAAGGGCAGTGTTGGTGCACATGTCGTCAACAAATAACTGTCGAGTATCTTTAACTTTTGATTTATGGATCAGTCATACAAATTACACGAATTGTATCCTTACTAGCCATAAGGTCAATGAGGAATATATTACCGCACTAAACTCTTAAGTTCAAGAAGTTAAATTTCCTGCACCCAAATGTGGCATTTGAAATAATGATAACTGTTAATGAGTTTGTTATCAGCGGTAAAAATACTTAGCATCACATAAGATAATGCCAAAGTGAACATCTCCCTAGATAGAAGTCTGGTCCAATAGCTAAATCTTGTTTGCAATAGGAGAGTTTAATACATGAGATTCATCACACCCAGGCATCACAAGTTAGAGGTCTTGTATATAAATTAGGGAAGTCAAGTTGATAAACTCCTTCTAAACAAAAGAACGAGGTGAAATTCAACCTATAAGGTGTTGAAGAAAGCATGCGAAGAAATCGGTATACTTACGCTCCATGCCACTCCTAGCGGAAGTACAGGTCTTCCCTGTTGACGCACAAGATTGGAGGGTTGCTGAAATCTTTAGGCACTTCTTACGTGTTTTTAGCGACATGATGGACGCTTGTTGTCCAGAGATTATCCAAAAAGCAACCCCACCATTCCATTTATGTGCATGACTTCAGTTAAATTGGTGAACAAGGAGGGTGATTCCTTCTTCAATGAAACGATACTGGCCATGAAAGCGAAATCCCTCAAACATTACAAGGACATTTGCCTGTTGATTTTCTTTTTATCGTCCACTATCTTGAGTTCGAGGTTCAAGTTGGAGGGGCTTGAAACTCTCATTGTTCCATATTACAAAGATTTGGGACTACGTGAGGAGGTCCAAATGGTGCGGATATTCATGATGGTGAGGAATTGGCTTTAGGATATGTATGCTGCATAAGCCAGTTGGTTCGATGCAATGAGTTTCACTCCATGAACGGAGATGGTGCCCTCATCGAGCAGTATCTAGAAATCTATATGGTCTTTACTTCAGAAGAAGAAGAACACTCTTCATATTCATCTACCAATAAGTTGGAGATGTATTTTATAACAAATTACTTCAAATACATTAAAAGAGTTGGCGAAGACAATATCGACTGTAATATGGTGATAGAGCAGAGCTTTACATTTTCCAATTCTTTCCACTGTGGCTCGTGACTTATTGGCCCCACTGGCTTCTACGGTACCATTTGAGCCCATGTTCAGTACTAGCCAACAGATCATGAAAGACGACATGTGCAACTTTATTACAAAAAATGTAGAAATTGCTATTTGTGAGCACGATTGGTTATCGCAAGATATAACTCTAGCTGAGTGTGTTCAACTTGAGGATGAGGACAAGAACGAAACTTTATCATCAAAGTCATGGCAAGAGACACAAGACCGAAAGCACCGCCTTTAGTTGGCATTATCTTGGATGTAATTTGTGTGCAATCGTCAATAGTACTTGTACGTCGTTGGTGTTTAATGGAATGAGTGTTTTTCATTAATATTCCACAATTATTCATGTATTATTTACTATTCGAAAATAAAAGGCTAATTTAAATGTTTGAAATCTTTTCACTAAAAGATTTTATTTAAATTTAAGACATGACGCGGGGCTCGGGCTCGGGCCCGTGCCGGGCCGGCACCCGGGTCGTGCCAGCCCAATCACGGCCAGGTGGCCACCCCTAGCCATATTGGTTAAAGGCAGAGGGCGAAAAAAGGCTGCAACACTAGAGCTTTTGGCAACCTTTGGTGGTTTTAAGTTCAAAACCCCATCGAGTGAATCATCTCAACCCCTTTTGCCCTTTTCTCCTGAACTTCCGCCCGTTCAGTCCTAGAAAATCTCCAAAAGGTCGATCCTAGTTTCATCTATACCCTTTCTCAAAGCCTTGTCTAGAGATGCTTTTGCTTTTCCAACCATGCAAAAGCATAGAAACCCAATCCACAATAACGAAAGGTGATAAGGTTGGGAAACATCAGATGAGATGAGATTGGACTCTGGTCATTCCAACGATCCTCCCGTGTAATATTCAAAGCAAGCTTCAAGTTGAAGCTCGACATTAGGTGGTAAAGCAAGTTTTGCACCTGAACAGTGAAAGAGTAGAATCAATACCAAGAGAGACTGAAGTGAAGCGCCACTGTTGCTCAAGTAATCAAGACATGGAACTTGGTACTAAATGTCCGAATTATTATTATTATTATCACCAACAGGCGGTAGTATCGCAACCTTTACCAGGTGCAGCTCTGATTCTTTTAGCAAGACACGATTACAGAGTTCGTAAGCCTCATCCCGAAAACATGATGAGAACCAAATCAAGAACGTTGGGAGGGAAAAAAAATGAGATATGCTATATAAACTATGAGAACTCTCGGACCGAGCAGAAACCTTCCATCCTGCTCTTTTCTTCCCATCTTCCCTCTAGATTTAATTTCCCAGTTCGTTCGGCTACATTAATACTTGACTCAGACGAAAAAAATTAAAGCAATAAGGAAATGACTAATAGTGGTTAGGTAAGAAGCCAATGTTGATCTCAAGCCACCAGCTGCTCCTGATCCGCGTACAACTGCTCCACCCAAGCTGGAAGCAGCTCAGTACCTCCGGAATTGAGATGATACTGCTGCTGCTGCTGCTGCTGCTGCGGCTGCTGCTGATGCTCCCCTCCAAAATTGCCGGGGCTTTTCGGTGGGGCTTCCTTGACCAAGGACTGAATCCAAGGCATGTCCGGTTCCCCTAAACTTGCTGTCGCAGAATCTGCAGAGGCAAGGAAGCGGTTGCTGCTGCTCCTGAGCCCGAACGATGCAGATTTCCTCAGCTTGTTCAGCTCCACCCCTTGAATGCCCCAGTCTAGTTTGCCATCCGGCGAGCCCCAGTCGTTATGGGATGACATCCTTGCAGCTGGAGAAGCCGCGCTCGACGAATATCCAGACTGACAGTTCACTGTGCTCCGCTCAATGAAGCTGTGGCTCCTTTTTGCGAATGCCAATGACCTGGAACTTAGAGTGGCTGCTGCTGAAGCTCTGGAAGGATCGATTCCGAATGACGGCAATGCCCTAGGTGAGGATGAAAGCTTGTCGGTGTAGCTCGAGTAGAGCTGCTGGGTCATGTTCTGCCGAATCTTCATTCCAGTAGGAGATTGCAGCTGGGATACTGCGCCATCAAGGGACAGCCCTTGTAACTGAGGCAAGAGGGTCGGGTCCAATGACCTGAAACTATCCTCAAGATTATTTGGTTTTACTCCTAATCTACTCATTTCTCCAGTCATGTCACCTGAATATTCAGGGTAAGCCGACGTGGTGGACGAGGAATTGTTCCAACCACAAGGAGAGGACAGATCAGAAAAGTGCTCAAGCAACTGCTTCTGCAAACGATAGTTATTTTCTAGACCGATCAAGTCAACATCTAAATCCATGTCTCTAGCACTCAATGCGCTTCTCAACCTGCTACCAGGAAGCTGCAAGCCAGGCGGAGCGCTATTAATTTGGCTTTTCCACATCGACCCACCAAGAGGAGAAGAGGCCCCAGATGGACTCATAGGTGGCGTTGAAGTTGGCGGTATCCGGACTGAAGAAGAACCGAGAGAAATAGGGCTCAATGATCCCATGTCTAGAGAAGCAGCAACAGGCGAATATGATCTCGGAGAAGGAAGCGCCGAACCAGTGGATGGATACAACGGACGAAGCTCTTCATGTTTGTGGGCAAAGAAACAGACTTTTCTGGTGCATCCGATCTCATCCTTACAGAGACGGGTGCGATATTGAGCTGGGTGAAGCCAGCACTCGAATATACCATGAGCATATTCGCAGCTATCACCTTGCCTGCATGACCCCTTGCGGAACTCAGGGCAAGGCACACAGCTGTAGTGATATTTTCGAGGGTCGCGCCGTCTTGCATTCTCCCCAGGGTGAACAAACGGACACTCAGTCCAGTCATGAGAGTAAGCTCTCGAGCAAGGCTTCACTTTGAAAGAATACATCCTGAACTCATCCGTGCTATATATTCCATTGTTGATGTCCGGAAGAGAAAGGTCGACGGGATACTCTTTCTTTTCAGAACCATCCTTGGAAGCTCGCGCCGTTGGACTCTCTTTTTGTTCGTTTCCTTCAATTTGACTACCCAGATTCTCGGGCAAATTATAAGTTTCCTCGAGAAACTCACCAGTCCCATCACCAGTCAACATGACATCCAAAGCCTTCCTTCTCGAATTGAAGGGCAAACCAGAGACCTCAGAAATCAAGTCTCCAGCTCGTTTCCCATTAGCATCAACGGAGTTAGCATTCGCCGAAGAATCGAGCAACAGCTTGATCACCTCAGGAGATTGTACCGAGACACCAGCCGCAGCACAGTGAAGCGCGGTAGCACCATCCGAACCGCACGCCTTGTTTACATCGGCCCGGCCAGACTTGATAATGTAATCCAGCACGGACATACTGCCGAACATGGCGGCAATCATGAGGGGAGTTCTCTCTTCAAGCCCAATCTTCTTCGAACCGATCCTCCTACCATACCACAAGCTCGACTCGTTGATATCGTGGCCGTCTTCCTCGACTGCTCTCTTGAAGTTCGTCAGATCATCCGCAGCAGATAGCTCGAGCAGGATCGAAAACTGACAGGACGCCATCCTCTGCTTCTCGAATTCACTCTCCCTTATGGAGCTTCCCGGAGTAGGTTTCCCTTTCGAACCGCCACACATGGAAAGATTCAGCACCTAGACACACTCCCTATCAAATTTTGCGATCCAAAAGTTTTAATCAGGCCGTAAGACTGGAAAAAGAAGAGGAAAAGAAAATCTTTCAAAAGCTACGGAGGCTCTGAATTCATCCCATGGAAAATAAACGAAACAAAGGATCATCATCATCAAAGAGCCGCACAGCTGAAGCACATATGCCCAGATACAGCGAACGTCTCAAAATTCCTAGTCACACACAAGCACGTCATGAAATACCGTCACCCGCACACAAACTCTCGCAATCAGGGCAGAAATCCAAGTTCTTTTCTCGATAGCATCGACAGAGACGGGCAACAAGAAACACAAATCGCTACCCGCATCGGCGAACGGCGAATTCGAAACCAAGAAGCTCACAGCGCATAAAGATGCGCGTAACAGAACATGGGCAACGATCAGACCCGCATAAAGATGCGCTCGCTCTCAAAAGCACCCACACAAAAACACCGATCACCCAAGAACAAGAACGTAAGACCCCAGGACCCATTTGAAAAGAGCCAGGCGTGAGAGAGAACTGACCTCGGAACACACAGACGAGCGACAGAGCAGTAGCAGTAGCAGTAGCAGTAGCAGCAGCAGCAGCAAGCAAGCGCAGGCGAAGGAAACGAAAGGCGAGCTCCGATTATCAACCTCCAAAATCCATACCCACACCCCTCCTTTCTAGAGAGAGAGAGAGAGAGAGAGAGAGAGAGAGAGAGAAAGCGATCGACTTTTCGCCTCCTCCGTCGCTGGGTCAAAAAAAGCCAGCCTTTATGAACGAACCAAAGCTCTCCTCCTTCCCTCTCTCTGCGTGTAAAAATGGCTCCTTTTTTGGGCTTTCTTTCCCTCCCTCTCTCTCTCTCCCTCTCCCTCTCGTACGCGAAGCCGAAATGAAACTCAAATGCAGCGAAAATTCGCCCCCAAATGCACTTGGAATTACATGTGTGTCCGGGCGCAGGCAAACACGAACAGGGGGGGAGGGGAGGTAGGGGGTGGGGATTTCAATAATATCTAATCCTCTTCCGAATAGTCGAAGTCCACGTGTCGGATTCTGTGCGCCACCGGCCCTCGCAGCCGCAGCCCCACACCACAAGGAGGTCCTGTTTGGTCACAGTGATACCATTCTCTCCCCCAACCCACCCAAAAAAACAGACAAAGGAGAGAGTATTTTATCCACCGAACATTATCATCGAATGTTCGCGGGGCTGGGGAGCCGCCCGACCGGACCCGAGATCCACATGATCCGACGACTACTGTTCATTAGGTCCGTACCCGCCTCCCGGGGCTCATTGGGGGGCGTCCGCCTCGTCGGGGCCCGGCACGAGGAGGAGCGAATCGCTCACCCGTAATATTAAAAAGTCGATCGAGATATAGGTCGCGTCGATAATGAAATCAATCGGTCGGTTGTATAATGTTCGCTGCATTCTGTGAATGAGGGATTATTGCGCGTTTACTGTGAGATCCACCTGATCAACGATCGAGATCGAGATGACCTTTAAGTCACTAAAAATTCTCCATAAACCGTACAATTTTCATTTTATTTTTCCGTAGAGTTCTTTCTATCCCTGCGCGGGCGGGGGCAGGGGTTGGGTCACGCCACACGCGTTTTGGTCCTATTGCGGATGACGTGGACGCACTTCCACCGTCAAAAGATGTTTGCGAAAGCGAGATCTGAATGGACGTGATTGGTCGAACCCCACCCCCCCCCCCCCCCTCGACGAGGAAGGCTAGGGTGACCGCGCTTCCTTCTTTATCTCGATGACAGACGTTTCTCATTGGAAGAAGTGTTCCCGGAGTAGTCCTTTGACTCTCGAGTCCTGGACCAATGAGTGACGCGGATCAAAAAGCGGGACCAAAGTTAGGTTCGGTCGAACCGTTCCCCTTTTTTTGTAGCCTTTATTTCTCTCTTTTTTTTCCCCTCAATTTTCTTTTCTTTTCTTTTCTTTTCCCTCTTTTTTTTTTTTTAAACTAGGGAAGTATTTATATTTTTATTAGCTAAATAGTTTATTACGCTTTGCGAAAATTTAATGATTATAATTCGATAAAAATATGTTGATGTTATTGTTTTACGATTCCAACCATTTTAGAAATGATTACACGCGCACAAAAAAAAAATTCCCAAAATAGATGTTACGCGGTGGCATGAACTTTTAATTATGTATATTATACTTATAGTTCGTCGAAACGTCTTGCGATAATACAAGATATTTTGTTTAAAATGTATGGTAATTATCGGGTCAGAAGTCAAATGGCTTTGGAACTATCCATTTTAATTAATATGCCCCATCGACACTAAATTTGGCATGTGCTTTTTATATAAAGAAGGGCTAGCTAGAGTTATTATTTTATTTAGTTAGGTAGGTAGCTAATATATATATATATAAATATTACGCGGACTACGTACTCATCCATACTTCTCATCTTAAAATTGGCGTAATTGTTATGTCCTAGTGACATATAATTAATAAGCTATACCTATAATTCCACAACACAAGTTACATGGTCCGTCCGCAAAATTAACTGTGGCGGGTCCATACTGTATACAAAAGAATAGGTGAGTGTGTATAACCCGATAAAATCAATGTGGGCTGTTAGATTTGTTAGAATTCGTATGGTCATACGGAGCCAGCCATTTTAAATATAGTCTAGAGTCCTTTTTATAGTATATATAGAACATTTACCTACCACTTTCTGCTTCACGAAAAATTAATTTCGCATGTTATTATTTCAGTTCGGATATATATATCTGAACGAGAGAGTGCTCAAAAAGTTATCTCGATGTGTATATTTATTTTAGAAGAGTATTTGGTCAATTTTAATTTAGATTTGCAACGAATGTAATGGATGTGTAAAAATTCAAAGACCATTAGATGATGTGCCATCATTTTTAATTTAGAAACTCGCAATATAAAAAAAATTTGATTTTTTTTAGAAATAACTCTGTAGATTTTTCCTTTTTATGGCAAGAAATCCATCTCAAGAAGGTAAAATCCAATCCATCTCAGGACGGATTCGTAACTATTTCTTTGCGAGAGCTAGTATATATTATCCAATCGCGAAGGAGTCGAGAAGGTCCGATAAGATTAATGTCGGATCATGCATAACAATCTTTTCTAAGATTATTTATTAACTTCTTGTTGATTTTATTAGTGCATTTGCCCGCACTATCTATATTCTTGCGATGGATTTTTTTTTTTATGGAGAAAAAACTCAATTCGAACAGGTCATAATAGTGGTGCATGCAACGTTACTTTTAAAAGACTTTCCACACAAAATATTTAAAACGGCTAAGAAGTAAATGCACGAATTTATGCCTTTCCGAGAGATTAGAAGTGTTTTCGTAATACAATAGCTTATCGCCAAGATGATTCCCTAATTCTATATGGTACGCGCGAGACTAAACACTTGTCGTGAAATCTTAAATTCGAAATCGAACTAAAATACATCCTGACATTTTCGGCAGCATTTAATAATGTCGGATAGGTTAAAACGGGATAAATTGTATACTGACTATGCTTTGATCGTCTCGACCGAACACTGCGACCGGGACAGCCGCCAATACGTTGTAAGAGCAATCTTCATAGCCCTTGATCGATTTCGATGCATTTATTTAATTTGAATATTTTCTTATACCAAAATTATTTGCCTCTGCACTAAAGTTAGAGGCGTAAATATTCTTAGAGAAATAATCTTTTTCATGAAAAATAGCAATCGATCAAATGATAATTTCGTGCTGAATACTTAAATCAAACTACGGGGTAAAAAGGGCTAATGGAGAAAACTAGTTCTTATCCGGCGTTCGCGGCAACAAACTCGGAAATCCGATAAAATCCGTCGCACTTTACTCGACGCTAATCCTTTTTCCATAAGATTACTCTAAGAATCCGGTCCTAGCAAAATAGGCGAACAAATGTTCGATGGCTAAAAATGTCGGACCGACATGTTTACGCCGATAGCTTACGGCAGTACTTTCTACAAGATTCGAATTTCGGGTAATATCATTTTGTCTTGGGAAAGGCCGTATTCCGATCTCAGTCGGGCATCGGGATAAGCGTCTGTCCGCGTCAAGAATCGCCAGCCCCCCGACAAACACTTATATTTTTCCAATCGGGTCGGATTATTCTACCTTAAGGAAAAACTCGGTTCTCCATTCTAATTTATGTCCCCGTCACGGATTGAAACGGAGACACATCGATTCGATTAAAGTAGTGCGATATAATTGTCGCGATCGCTGATCAGCGAAGATAATCCAATTTTTCAAAGGCGGGACAGGACAATCCTTCGCATGATGTGCGCAACAAGCCAACGTTGAATTCATCGACGAGAGAGAGAGAGAGGATTTCGATGGTTTCTCTACTTTATAGGATGTCTCTGTCGCGCAGTCCTTGTCTGCGGAATTTGCGTTGTTTTTTTTTTTGGGTCCATTTGAAACAGCTTCGTCCCGAAAAAACATAAATAAATCGGTTAATAACAGCCTCTTGATATTAATAACGCGCGCTAAAAAAAAATAAAATAACGGAGCAAATTCTACTGCTCGTTGGCAAGGTGATGAGCCGTCCGATCGGGAAGTGATAAATCCGAGCCGTTCATCGAGAGTGCACCGTCGAAAAACGGGTCTCTTCCAGAAGTGCCCGCATGTTCAAGCCCATCTACTTTGGAGGATTACGAGTACAGACATCGGGCAATATTCATATTTAGTTAAGTTTGCACGTGAGTAATGTTCATAATTTGTAACCTATCAGATAGAGATTGATTGGAGGAACTTTCTCTTAGCCCGGATGGAGAAAATATAGTCCGAAGAGAAAAGGAGAAAGAAGGAAGGAGAGAAAGAAAGAAATTACAACAGGATATCAATTCGAAGTTCAACGGAGAAAATCAACAATGTTGTATGTAAAAATCAACGTACCCTCGGATAATTGGTAGCTTTGCGTTCTTTGTAAATTGCATGCACGGTCTTACTTACAAGGTCAGTGGGTATTCATTGGTTTAAATCTTACCTGTTTAAGATGGGTTTTCTTGTTAATAAAAATTGCGTGTCTCTAAACTTTTTCCATTATAATAGAATTTTTTTGGGAAAAAAAATTGTCAAAGCATACATACATAAGTGCAAACGAGTCATGTTTATAGCCTTATAAATTTTTTTTATTTTTTCTTGGGTCTGATTCTATCCTGTTTTTTCTGTAAGTCAGGTGCTTCGGGGAAATCGAACCCTCTATCTTCCCCCTTTTCAAGTGGAAAGGGTGGTCACTGAGGCAATCCCCCAATGGTTCTTATAGTTTTCAATTGGTTGGGTGGGTTTCTTGAGGCTTGCCAATGCCATGACCTTTCTCAAAGACTTTTTCAATCTCACCAACCAATAAGACGCCGGCTTAGATGGAACGGAAGTTTGCTTCTCTTTTTATGGTTCTGGGTTCAAGTCTTGTTAGGAGTGCCGGAGGAGTAAAATCAAGAATGCACTAAGCCGATATGGAGAAATGCGCCCTTAAGAGGGCCAGGAAAGATGGACCGATCGAGGTGCGTAAAAGTCGGCCAAGACACCGTCTTACCGCTGGAGCGAAAA